TATTTATGATTTTACTGTTTTTTTTATGTTGTAATTTCTGTTATTAATGAATAATTAAGAATATTGAAGGAAGATATGAAATCTTATTTAGGATGGGGTTGTATTGTAAGCATCACTGCTATTTTCTTAATATAATTAATTTTAGAATCTGTAGTCTATCTAAATTCATTAGCTATATTCAACAATAGATATTTCTATTATAAAAGTATAAAAAGTTAAAAAGATTTATTAATAATTTTGTTAATTATTTAAACCAACCTTATTAATAGAAATAGATCATTACATAACTATACATTAATTTAGTAATATGAGAGCAAGAAAGTTAAATTGAAGTTGCATACAATATTAATAAATTGTAAGAATATTTAACAGTTTATTATTATATATTATTCTATTATCATTTCAGAATAATATCTTTTAATTAAATATAATTTCATCAATTTAATATAAATGGTTAGTAATTTAATAACTGAATTAAAATAGATTAATTAATTATTGTTTAAGACCAAAAAGGTTTGGAAAAAGAAACTAAATTTAGATTAATAAGATATTCCAATTAAATAATTTATTGTAGCATCAATCTTGAAATAATCTAAATTCAAATATACTTGTTCTAAACCTATTTAGAATTGCTTTTTGTAATTACTCATTTTATATCTTAGCTTTATTCAATTTCAATAATGATTGTAATCAAATTCTTTAATTTTTTATAATAGTGTATTTCCTCCTTCCAATTTGAAATGAATTCAATAATTTTGTTTATTATATTTTGATATCTTTTTACAGAAGCTCTATTGTGTCATTTACATTTAGTATAATGATATTTTAAAGTAAGCCTCCTTCTTTAAGAAAATAATAATATTAAACTCGTTATTGTGTTAAAGTTGAATTATTGAAATTAAAAGAAATATTTGAACAATTTAAAAAAAAAAGAATATTTATATTACCTATTTATTTATTATTCTCATTTACATTTACTTTGATAATATTTAAATAAATATAATTTTTAGTTTAATCAACTTCTTGATTTGTAAATCAAATATAATTCAATTAATTATTGCCATTAGTTTAATTTACTTATTCTATTACTTAATCATTAATGATTTGATAAATGTTAAATATTAACACTTTATTCTTTAATTTATTTTTATTCTTGAACTACATATTGATATTCTTTCTTTTTTGTAGTAATTTTAGACTCAAATCTTCTAAAAACAATATGTTTAATCTAATTTTAGGATAAAACTCTTGTAATTCCATTTTCTTTCCTCTAATTGTATTTTAGAAAGTTTTGCACTACTTCATAGTGTGGAAATTAATAATAAAAACTAATGAAACTATATTTTAATAAATTAGATTTAATATTTTATTATAATAGTTTTGCTTTTATGAAAAATTTGAGGAAATCCT